CTTCAGTGTACGGAAAACTAATCCCAAATTTTCAGATTTAAATTTTTAACGAAAAAAGAGCTATTCGGTTCGAAACGCGATTTTGCGTTGTTCCATTTTTCATTCGAGTCTGTTGCTGTTCGAAAAAAAAAAATATAAGATATTATTTTTTCCTATTAATCTGTCTGTTATTAATTAATAAACTAAACTATTTAAAATCAATAGATGCTGTTCTTAAGAATATTTTTAAATACATTTTCCATTGATTTAAATAAAAATGCATTTAATTCATGATATATCCTATTACAAACATTAAACATTTTTACAGAATTAAATTACACATTTTTTAAAGAATTTTTAATACACAGAAGGTATATGACGTTTCCATGCTAGTCTAAATACACATTCATCTAATGTCCCAGAAAAAATTTCGAGCTTCCATCTGGGCCATCTTGATCTCTGTGTGTGTGTGTGATTATGGCAAAGCCTCGAGGGCTATCTGCCTAAGGGGAGGGATGCCTTCGTGGAGGACTTTCTAAGGGAAACTGGCTCGTATACACGTTACACATGGGGAAAACCACGAAAACGCCCATGCAGCCAGCCCGTTCGCGGGATTCGAACCTCGGACCGAACTACCAGTGTTCAGCGACTTTACCGCTCGGCCGCTGGTGGGCCCATCTTGATCTCTACTGATACATCATACTGAACATTAAAAAAGGCCTTTCGGGTGATTATTAAAATCTGAACCCTTCCAGACTTTTTTTAATTATTATCATTTTTTATTTAAAAATAATAATAATTAAATAATATAATTCAATTTTCTATTATTCTTATTTACTTATTTATTTTAACTACAACAATCCTTTTCCCACAATTTTAGTCAGCCTAGTTTTTTTTTTTTTTTTTTTTTTGGTTCGTTTGTTGCTTTTGCGTGAGTCTTCAAATTAGCTTTTGACAATTCTGCTGAAAACGATTTTCCTGAAATATTATATACATATATGTATTTCTTTAACATTTATATATATATAGATAAATGTTATATAAGTTATACTGTTTACTTCCACGCCTATCGAATTAATTTCCACCTTTTCGTTGCCCTGCGTTGGCAACACGCTTTTGAGTTTTGTCGTTCGTAGAATTCATTCGCTAAAAGCGTAGCTGACCTGTAACGGTTGTAATTCCTATTTTAAAGCTTATCCGTACTGCTGAATTATTACTAAATGTTTACGTAAGAATGTTTTATTATTAAATGTATTCAGTTTGGTTTAAATAGACCGAGAGTCGTTGAATTTATTAAGGATATTTAAAATCGAAACTACGTCATTCATTCCGGCGCCATTCTAACACAGGAACGTAAACATATATATATATACAATATCCACATATTTTTTTTTCCACATTCCGATATAGATTTTATTTTATTCAATGCTAAATATTTCTTACAGATTTCTGCTTGGCAATTAAACTAATTATCACAATATATCCATCTTTACATTGTCGATTAAAATAATCTTTTAAACCAAGCTTGTTTCGAATTAGATGCTAATTATATGGAGTAACCTTCCTATGTTCAGAAGCAGCGATTTTTACTTCCTTGTACGAAGTAAAAAGGAAGTATTGTAATCGTGAAAAGTTTCAGGTAGCACATTTCAACGATTATATCCATTTTGACCGCTTTCAAATGCAATTTGACGATTTATTTGCGTGATATCTGTACGTAAGGACAGAATAAAAGACTCTTTTCCTCCAAAAAAATTATAAAACTGCTTTAAAATGAATTCTGAAGAGAATTTTTGGTGGTGCCTGTACGTACGTACGTATCTCTCATAACTCAAAAACGAATAGCCTCAGAACGTTGAAATTTTGTATATAGGACAGCTATAAGATGCAGATGAGCACCTCGCATTTTGGTTGCAATCGGCCGCACCAAACGTATATAAATATATACATATACATATATATATATATATCCACTCTGTTACCCGACACAGTGATCTCTGTTTCTTTACTCTTATATGTTTGTAAATTGTGCATTTTTTGCTTTAAGAATGATTGAATTATGTTGCTCTTTTCTTCCGGTTAAGTTTTTATGCTTTAAGAAATGTGCAAGCAATATTTGTAGAATTATCAGCAATTTAAAAGCTGTTTAAGTGCGGTTAAGTCTAATATTTGAATAACATGGCGGACATGTTTGTTTACATTTGAAACAGCACAATAGTAGATTTGTTGCCAATCTAGAGAGACTAAGCTTCACAACAACAAAGATAACGCCTTCATTTATTATTGCGAATTAAATCATGCTTAATTCTTTCTGGAATTTTTTCGAGGAAATAAGTGTTTAGGATTTTTACTTCGTAATTTTAATATAGATATTTTGAGTTTTTATGTATTTTTGCCTTGTCGCGAAGTGAGAATTGAATTAATTGAATGAGAAATACTGAATCGTCTGTGAAAAAATATGTCTTTTTTGTTTTGTTTGCTTAATTTCTCTTATACATCGTTCTAGCTTTATTATAGTATTTGAATAAAACATGTAACAACGATTAGATAGTTTTTCAAATGATATAGCCAGAATGTCGCTTTGTTAAACAAATATAGTGAATTTTAAAGAGTGCATTTATTCTATTGTGGTTTATGCGCTATCGACGAAGTAGATTTAATTCAATCCAATAAGCTTAAATAAAATGCATGAAAAAATGCGTATAATTTAATATTCTGTGCAAGGAAGTCATGTGGTGCACACACCAGATTTTTTCATTGTAGTCTTTTCCCCGTTTTGTAGACAATACGTATGAAATAAAATACATTAAAAAAAATAAATTACACGGTTTTAGATAAATGCACTAATTTTTTGAAGACCTTTTTATTACCAATAATATCCTTGTCATATTTGACTAAGGATAAAGTATATAATAAGTAAAACGTCCATATATATATTAGAGCTGAGAAGATATTTAGAAAGTTTTAAATAATAGAAATGATAGTGCGACAATTCCATACATAAAAATAACCACATTAAATTTATTCAATCCGCCACTGTTAACAGCCTCATGATTATATTTTCGCTCATAAATAACTAGGAATAAGAAATATTGTTTATTATTATTATTAAAAATATATTATTTTATTATGAACACTAATTTTATAGCTATAAAAATATTTCGGTTTTTAGTTCACTTAACTAAAACCATTTTACTTGGAAAAATAAATCTGCATTTTATTTAAAATAGGAAGCAAGAAATTTTCAGGCTAAGAAACCAGCAACATACGCATGTAGTTTCTATCACACCACATGGAATTCCAATATAAGAGAACTAACTGGTTGACTCATGAAAAGTTTTACTGCTAAAAATAACGTTTTACCCTAGAAACCTATAAATTCTGGATTAAAAATTTAACGTTCAAGATGCAAATCACTAATTTCCAAAAAATGACTAAACTGCAGTACAATAGCCGGCTGCTTTCGTAACGTATAACTTACTCTAAAACTCAGTTTGAGGAATAAATTGTACTGATAAACCATATTGCACTTTAAAATAACCCTTTTGAGTGACTGTTAAATCTGAAGCCTTTCTGAGTTTTTTAATCTCTATATTTTTTTATTTACCCAATTTGCTATTACTATTTTTTATTTATTTATTTAAACTATACAATGAATCCTTTTGCCGCAATTTTATTCAGCTTGGTTTCTGTTTTTGTTCGTTTTCTGGCTGTTTTTATAACCTAAAATTTTAGATGTAATTTTACACTTCCCACTCACACATCTAAAATTTAAATTTTACACGACAGATAAGAATAAATCTCAAAAGATCTCTAAAACTATTACTATTTTTCCTGTCAAATTTTCACCTTAAAATGGGTGAAAAGGTCACGGAAATACTACAGATGATCATATTCCTTAATTCTTTTTATTTCAAAAATTAGGTATATTGATATATAAGAATGTCGTTTTATTAGCTTAAAATGTCATTACTTATACAAATATTTTATTTAAGAAACAGATCTCAAATGTGAGGTCCACCTGAGACTGAATGCTAAAAATAGGTTTTTAGTATAAACTGCTGGGTATTTAACCCCTTTAAATCTTCATGATCAGCCTAATATGCGATTACTGATTACACAAAAATATTATAAAAATGAAACTATGAAACTAACACTTGTTTTACTTGAAAAATTTCAAAATTTAAAATCTAAACGTCTATATTTTTTCGACTTTTGGTGCTCATTACTATCTAAGAATATATTCAGTAGTGGAATTTAATGCAGTCCGAATACTTATATGGTCATATCTATGTTGAATTTACGAATAATTATTTGCGATATGAAATAGACGGTGTGGTGTGGTGTATTTAATTATGGCAAAGCACACGACGGCTATCTGCCTAAGGTCAGGGATGCCTTCGTGGAGGACTTTCTAATTACAAAATTATATTAAAATGGAACATCAACAATAAAATTGTAAGGATTATGTTAATTTTATTAACAGTTATATTTTAAATTAAAGTTCCTTTCCTGTCAAATTCTTAACTTCAACTTTCTACTTCCAGCCAGAACGTAGTTTTGGAATCATTCTGAATACCTAATGAGGAGGAGCGGTATTTTGCAGAGTTAGAGAAAATCAGAGTTTCTGATTTGCGCGCGTCTGCCTTTTGGGCTACTCTATCTCTCAAAGCTGTTATTACGTTCGGCCGTACTTGATAAGCTTCGTAGTCAAATAGAGTTAAGGGGCCAACTCGATCAGAATCTTGATTGCTTCGGCTATATTTCTTTAGTTAATCTTAGTTTTAGTTTAATTTTTAGTCTCTTAAGTTCAAGCCCATGTGTTGTTTTGATTGTACACTCCAAGACGGAGTTTTGTAAATCTTATTGGAATAATAAAGGCTTAGTTACCCTTCCATCTTGTTGTTTCTTGTTACACGAACTTAAGCGATTATTCGCTAACTAGTTCTTAAGATTCGTCACTTTCCACAGTAACTGAGAAATACACTAGTGAGAATCTTACAAAATGAATGCACGCATGATTAAAGGAGACACAAATTTTTCATGATTTTATTGCTGTACAAGACTCTTAATATACATGCCCTGCAAACATAAAAATATATCTCAGGGTAAAACATTTGCTGTAGCTGATATTCACAATTTTCTGTTATTCTACAATGAATCATTATTATTTGATGAGAAACTTTGGTTTATTTCGTGTATTGTCTTTCCTTTTGTCTCGGGTATGAAAAAACAACAAAACAAGCAGCCCAAAAGAGCAAAAAATGCGTAAGTCCAGTATAATCCGTAAGTGCCTAAAGCAGTTCGCATATCATCGAATAATTTTGTTGTTGCAAAAGAAAACAAAGATGAGGAGACGCTAGCAACAGCTAGAACTGTGCTTCGACTATGAATAGGCACTATTTCAGGTGTTATTACGAAAGGTATAGGACCATAACCAATCGAAAAAGCTAACATATATATAACAAAACTTACCAGTGGCACCCAACCATAAAAAGTCATGTCCATTACCAATCGGGTAGATAAGAGATTATGAAGACCCAACACTATTAGTGCCAAAGTCATAAAACTGCCTGATATTGTGAATAATACCTTGCGTCCTGCTTTATCCATAAGCAAACCACTAATAGCTGTACCTGTAACTTGCACAGCTGCGACACATGTGGCAGCCACGTGAGGATCCATAAAACGTTGACCGCTTTCGAAGATATCTACAACATAAGCCATTAGGGAATTAATGCCAGATAACTGCTGAAAAAACATTAATGATACGGCAATTATTAAAGGTTTGTACAAGGTTGGGTCTAAGATATCTCGTACATGTATGCCATCCGCAGGTTGCTGTGCCATGTTGTCAGAAATCTCACGAAATTCTTTATCAATATCACAGTACTTTCCCTTAAGGAACTTCAAGCCTTTCAAGGCTTCTTTGTTCTTAGACTCGCGAATTAACCAAGGCGGAGATTCTGGCATCATATACATAAGGTACCCTGCACATACAGCGATAACAGCAGCTGATATGGCCAGCCAGGACCATCTCAGGACAATACCCAAGGCCATCACAAGGAAAACTCCGAAGGAGAAGGCTATTTGAAATCCTGATGTTAAAAGTCCTCTTATTTCTGTCGTTGAGATTTCAACAACGTATGCAGGAGCAGCAACAGCGCAGATACCAGCACAAATGCCAGTAAGAAAACGACCCACATAAATCCATGTCATTGATGAAGCATAGGCTACCATCAACCAGCTGGTGACATACGTTGTAGATACATACATAAAAACTGCTCTCCGTCCTAACTTCTGAGAAGCAAAACCTGAAATAAAAAGCAACATTTTAAAAAAGTATATACAACAGTATTTTAAAAGCTACATATGATGAAAAACCGTATTGAAAAAGCGATGAAATTTAAGACGACAATTCCACTCACGAATAAGGTTTACTTGGGACGAAATTCGAATAATTCTGTGAATTTTAGCCCTTAATTTAAATCGAAAAGTACCAAAAGATTATTGTTTCAGAAACTAAACAAAACATAGTTCATACAGATTTATCCATTTTTTAAAAAAACTATTATTAAGTAATGAGGGTACAAAAATTTAAATTAATGAATTATTATCCAACAAACAAATTTTTTAAATATCAGGTACAGAACATTATAAAATTTTAATATAAATTAATGAGTTATTACCACAGCCCAAAAGTAAAATAAAATAAAATATTCACTTGTTGCTGAAATAACGTTGCTTTGAGTTTTAAAGGACGTTATAACGAATGGTCGTTACAGTGAAATTGAATTTAGTATGAATTCACCAGTGGGAACATTTCACACTCTTTGAACCGTTTGCTGGACTGAATACACGCAACTGTCTGCTTTATTTTAAATAATAGCTGCACTAAGGATCTTTTCCTGTGCACCTAAAGCTCTTTTTCTTCCAGAGAGGTCGAAAGGCCTGATAGCCTCATTAGAATATCATTATAAATATATAAGGTTTTTTTAGGTTACGTTCTTTGAATACGGAAAAGCAACGAGGGCTATCTGCTTATGAGGAGGGATGCCATCGCGGAGAACTTTCTGAGGGAAACTGGAAAACATTCTGGCTCGCTTCATGTTACACATCGTGAAAACCATGAAAGTTATCCACGACGCCAACCCGCTAACCGCTTAACCATTCAGCCATTATTGGGCACAGATCTATTAGGATAAAATTGGTTATTCTTTTATTTCTTTAAATGAAGCGTAAGTTGAAATTACTCGCCGTATTAACAAAATAAATGCAATATATAATATCTGTACGCTTTTTTCCCCTACTTTCTTTTTTTTCGTGCTTATTTAAATTTGCAGAGAATATGATGTCTACTAAACTTTTATGGTTTTTCGATACGTATTAATAGTGTTTACTTCAGAAAATTCGTATTTTAATTTCATTGGATATTGCAAAATCTGGAGACGCGATTTTACAATAATCAAAAATTTATTTGTGAACCAAAAAGGTTGATAATGCGAGCAGTCCAAATACAGAGATGTAGACAAGAAGGAATTTTCGGAAATTACATAAAAAATAAATAATTACATAAACGTATTACATTTTTCAGTTAAAATCTGATAAAACTCAGTTAAAAACTTCCGGCATGAATTAAATATGAATAGAACAAAGCAAAATTTAGAAGCATGCATCTCGTTCAAGGTAAATTTTACATAAAAAATGAAGCAAACGATTAATAATACGTTACATTTCATTTCCAAACATTATGTCTAATCTTCCGATGCTGTTTTAATAGGCCTTTATGGATTAGTTCTGCTGCAATAAACTTTTCAGCATCCATACTCAAGTAGTACACTTCAGAAAGCTTATTATGGAGAAGTAAGAGCAGAAAAGATATAGTTAAAATTCTATGGAAGTAGTAGAGACTGACTGATGTCGACAGTATGACTTCATGTGGGATAGTTTAGTTTATGGAGTTTACTACGTTAGTAGTATAAGGTATTTCTTCCGCCTTCCGTGTAGTGGCTCTGCAAGCTGAGCCGGTATTCTAGAAGCCTGTGGTTCGATTCCCAGCGATGGCGATTGCTCATTTATTATCTTGCCTGCTTCCAAAATACCTAATGTTTCTACAGTAGAAATAAGCGTAAGTAAACTTCAATATGTTCGTTCCAACAATAAAATTTGTTGGAAAACTGTTAATGTCTTATACAATACTCAGTATAATTCTCACGCTCAAAATTTTAGAATACATTAATGCAACTGATTCTTCTTTTTGTTCAACTAGATTATTTATTCCGTAGAATATTTTTGATAGTCATTGCCCTGTTTCGAAGCTGAAAGTTAATTAACATACTATTTTTAATGAGTTTCTAAATTTCCATAACTAATTTGGCGCTCCTTCCAATTGTTCGCCTGAGGCAAGAGCCTCATATGCCTTACCCTCCTCCCAGCTATGTATGCAAGCCGCTTCAAGAACAACAGAAATGCAATCTAATTCTTTAGATTCCATTCTAACAATTTAAACCCCTATTTCCCTCTACATTCAGTACTAACAAATCGTGTTTTAAACTTGTTTTATATTCTACCGTATAGGAATTAGATATCTGGTCTTGCGTTTTAGACAATTTAGGATACCTGTTTCTATGTTCTGATTTCAAAAAATCCTGCATCTGATTGTATCAAGATACATTCGCACGATGGTTTAAGGATCACTATGGTCATAGTTAGAGGCCAGGAGCACTACAAAAACGTTCAACGGGATTAAAATATCTTACGATTTTCGTCTCAGCCTTATCCAATAATGCATGTGTACTTGATATTCACTCAAGTCTACGATTTGCTTCTTCCACGAATTCTAAATTACAGTTTCTTCATTTTCAAAATACATTTATAGTAAAAAAAATGCTTTGTTACACAATAAAATGCTGAATAGCTTCATATTTTAGCATAATAAAAAGAAAATAAAACATGAAAATTTGTCAAGCTCCTCCATTTAAAGAATGGCATTCAATTAAACGTAGCATACAGGCCAATGAAGCACTTCACCTGAATCAAAATGCTGGTCAAATAGTAATCTACAGCGTTGATATAGACAAAGACGGGTTAGTAAAACTAATGACAAAACAAAATCGGAAATCGAGGAATCAGAATTAGAAGCACAACTCTCTATGCAAGCTAAGTTTGAGAAATATTGCGTCCTTTCAGTAGACCTATAAATTTTAAGCTATTTCTGAAGGATAAGAAGATAAATACACAATGGACGCTTAACAAGTTTCACAGTGCGCTAAATGCTTAAGCACTTTGCTAAAAATTGCAGAGAAGGCTGTAATGCGCAAAATGCAGATCAGATAATCATGAACTTAAGAACTGCAAAGAAGAAACCAAAAAATTTTAAAACTGTGTTTAAGCAAATAAAAAACTCGAGTTATAACACAACGGAAACCACGGATAAGAAATGCCCATGCTATCAACACAAATCCTCTAGATTCTACAGATAATCCTAAAAGTGAAATTACAATCCTACAGTTTAACTCACAGCACTCACGGAATGCTACTGAGCAACTTTAGAAATAATTAAAATATTAAAATAGCATCCGCACAGAAGTTATGTGTACTAAATAATAAACTATACAGTCTGCCCTATATATAGTCTGATAACAGCTATAGAACTCCTAAGCATGCCCAATATAACAGCACTAAAAATAGGATTCCTCCTGGTAGATGTATATTGACCCCCGTCTCAAGACATACAGCCAGAACCATCAGGAGTGGATAATCTGGTCGGAGACAATAACAATATTCCATTCTTAGTCAATGGCGATTTCAGTGCCCAATACCCGCTATGGGGCCCAAACGTCGCCTACCAAAGAGGCCATAAAGTGTGTACTACTTTTTGGTCTTCAGCCAATCTCACAGTAATAAACTGCTAGAGTGACATTTTCACTTTCGCTGGCGCGCTTAGGAACTCGTAGGTCAACTGACCCACCTATAGAAGTGCCGGTTCAGTAAATATCCAAAACTGGCAAGCCACGAACGATGAAAATAGTAGCGACCCCAATAATATAATGTATGATGTAAGTAACATTCCTTATGAAAGGAAGTCAAGGTTTAAAATCTCAATTAAAGACACGGGCTGGTTACAGTTCACGGAAGTACTTACAGAATTCAAACAGATAAATTTAGGCCAAACACCCGAGAAAAATTAGATATCTATATAACAACGGTCACAGAGAATCTACGTTGTTAATATCTTTATTGTACGACCGCCAGAAAGAAGAAAATACATATCGAAGGACTACCAACGGTCTATGGTGGACAGGGGACCTCACAGGAATGCGAAATACTGTCAGAAGATTACACCACTTGGGATAGTATAATAGCAAGCTCACCTTTTGGCATATATTTCGGTCTAGTAATAGGTAAAACGCCTAGGGCCATTACAGCTAAGAACGATGACAAAAAGAGACGGAACTTCAATTATCTCGGCAGAAGACACAATAAGGGATATAATACACTTTCACTTCCCACAAGAGGATCACTCAACAGATATGGAACAGCAAAAAGAACACTGGTTCTACTCGAGCACGCCTGCTGATACGGAAGACGATCTCCTCTTTTCACACTTGGAGATCAAAACGGTAACCGAGACAATGAAACAAGAGAAGGCCCTCGGCCTAGATAACATTGTCGAAGTTCTGGATGAGTTAAGGATTGTTAGCAGTGGCAAACTACCATACCCGCTAAATAAATGCCTAGAGTTAGGGTACTTTCCCGACTCCTGAGATGATGCCAAGATAGTCCTCTTCTACAAGTCAGTGTTCCTCTTATCAGAGTGCAGCAAGTTTGTAAGATTCCTATGTGTTTTAATCTGTAGCTAAAGTTGGGGAATCTTAAAAACTGGTAAACGAATAATCGCTTGAGTTCGTGAGACGGAGAACAAAGCGTAAGAAGGAATTACCCTTTATTATTCCAATAAAGTTTAAACAGACGACTCCTTTCTTGGAGTTGCAATAAAGCTTCCACTCGGGCTTGAACTTAGGAAACTAAGAACTAAACTTAACTAAAAAGATATAGTCGAAGCTATCAAAATTCTAACACAGTTGGCCTCTTCATGCTAATTAACGGCGAAGTATCAAGGGCCTAAATTACGGCCCAGAGTAGTAATAGCTTAAGAGAGAGAATAGCAAGAAAAGGCGAACGCGTGCTAGACAAAATCACTGGCTCTCTAACGAAGTCAGTAGAACTTCACAGTTAAATACTTCTGCTCATTTGCATTCAAACGCGATTCTAAAAATACGTTCTGGCCGGATGTTGTAAGCTTAAAAGTAAGAAGAGATAGGAAAGTAACTTTAATTCAAAATTTAACTTTAACTGTTAGATTAATTAACATAATCCTTACAAGTTATTAGATAAGGCAATCCCACAGAGACTAACCCGGCCAGGTATTAGATAAGACAGTCACACAGAGACTAAGCCACTTTCTCGAAAGTAGAAAACTACTAAGTGTGGCCCAATACGGGCTCACAAAAGGGAGAACTACAATCGACACTTTAAACAAAGTCCATGATGTAGTTCTCGAAACAGAAGAAGAGGTTTGCATACATGTATAATATATCTTGGTGCAACATCAGCTTTCAGTCAATTATGGTAGTCGGCTTACATGCCAGACTAAAGGATCTAGGCTGCCCGAAAAATCTGTTCAACATAATAAACAACTACCCGGAAAGTACACGGATTACTCATAAAAGAGATGCTCTTCATGTCACAAAAGAATATAAGAAAGGGGACCCATCCTTTGGAATAATATTGCACATATAGCTCTGAGAATAGATTTCGAGGAGAACGCTATAATTTAGCCATATGCAGGTGATTTTATATTAGTTATTGACAGAATAAATTGGTCAGTAATTCAGAAAAAGCAGTAGTAAAACTACTTACAGCTTAAGTACTTAAAGCGAGAAATACAAATTAAAAATTCAGCACAGAGAAAACTCGATTGATAATGTTTCCAAAAGACCATAAGACAGAAGCGAACCCACCCTGCATAAAATGGCGGGGGGTTCCACTCAGATGTCAAAATGAAATATATGGATTTTGTTTTGGGTAAGAAACACAGGTGGGTTTCCCATCTAACAAACATTAGGGAAAAGTAACTACGCTACAATTTTACAGGCCCAGTCGTACGCTCTTTAAACGGCGGACCTTAAAAGGGCAGGGAATATCCTGGTAAGTAAGGCGATATTTCATACAGACAGCATAATCGTCCTGCAAGGATTAAACAAGCGAAGCTCCTTTCCTACACAAATAGAGGCACTACGAGAAGGACACTTTACAGATTGAAGCACAACCATCTATCTATAATTTCAAGTCTCCACAAACCACGGTCACATTCCCTACGATTCCTGAGAAAACACGTTAAGTCTACCTTGTAGTGCCGTTGAACACGTAGCAGAAGTTCTTCATTATCTTAGGAACTGTCTCAAGACAGAGGAGCTATGCACTAAACACTTTCCCCCAAGTACCCAGCGTCTCACTTTCTATAAGCTGTTCACCGGCTATTACCATGTTAAGATGATAGTAATTACTATCATGACGATAGTAAACACAGGACACTTCCTCATGGAAGAGGAAGATTAATTGTAACAGGTGCATGCCTCGTAAAGAGTTCGTAGAACAATACCTACGATTTATACATATGTAAGTAAGTGTAAACCTACTAAAAAAATACTACTAAAAATTTCGATATATAAGGAAACTGTAGCTACTGTTATGTAAATTTTTAATCAGTAGAGGACAGAAATTCTAAAAGCGAGTGATAAAGAGAGAGAAAGGAGGTTTAACTACCAAAATTATTACTATCACAACAATTGGAATGATATCCCATACTTGCCGTGCCTTCCTTGAGAATGGCGGTACTAGAGTAAGTAAAAGCTATATATCATTATGTGTGAAATTTTGTCACTGTGTGATTGTTCCCTCATTCTGAAATGTGCACGAATTTTGATTCTTTCGTTTTCGTAGTTACAGCCATTTGTAGTTCAATCCAGGTTCGAATCTTGGCAAACGGGTTCGGGGCAAATCCATTTTCGGGATTTTCTCTATATGTAATGTCCGATCCCACTTGTAAATGCATTTGATGCAAAAAAAGTTAGAGACATAACAAATGAATGGAAAAACTGGGTTTGGTATTAATCATGAGATCTATATACTGTCAATCAATGATATATGCAATCATAACAATCATCAGAAACACACTTATTCTGCTCACTTTGCAACAGGCTTCTTCAAATGCTCTTGAAAATCAGTTATATTTTCCAAGTTCTTACAGTGTGTATTTTCAAGGTACATCATGCTTAATATTTGTCGACGTTCATGACGTTTTAAGCTTTCCTTCTGCTTTTTACTATATAATGTTATATATATGTTTTCATAAAAGGTTTTCTAGGGACTGATAATTACGTTATACATGACAAAAAAAAAAAAAAAAAAAAAAAAAAAAAAAAAAAAAAAGAATATATCATCTATTCCTTTCATTTAATCCAGGAATATAGCCAGAGGCGAACTAAATGGTGTTCCAGTACGATGATATGACTTTAAACTGAAATAAAATAAAAACAACTTCAGATACAGGCAAATTTTTTCTAATATTTCAAAGTACAATTTTTAAAATTATATTTTGAATAAAGCATGATTTATGTATCCACTTCGACAAAGTGCACACCAGAGAATTCGATTAAAACAATTTTCGATGACTGTACACAATGATTCGTACCTAATATCAAGAATGCAGTGTTCGACGTTTATTCTTAATATTTTAGTGTGAAGTAGTCTAAACAAGTTAAATAATAGCTTAAGGGAATCCAACTAACAGTTGCATTTCATGAAAATTATGCTTTCAGCAAATTTTATTTTGCAATCGTCGACAGTGCCGGTAGCAGGTACCATCTTGTTGGAGCCACATGACCTCTTAATTTGGCAAAAAAATTGTTATCGATCTGTATAACTCTGTAACTGTAGCTGCATCTTCTCCCTCGTTTTGAAAAAAAAAAAAAAAAAAAAAAAAAAAAAAAAAAAAAAAAAAAAATGGTTCGATGATGCCACTGTGTCACAAACCACATTACAAAGTAATCTTTTGCGGATGCAAGGGCTTCTCGTCAATCTTTCGTGGACTGTTTTCATATCGAAAACGACTTTTTTTTTTTTTTTTTTTTTTTTTTTTTTTTTTGTTGTTAACATATCCACTTCAGCAGAAATGAACTTCATCCGAGAAAATAATTTTTTTCCGAAAAATATAGTTCTTGAAGAGTATGATGAATTGCCAAATGAAGCACAAACAAATGAACACAAATGAAATTTAGTGACATTTTAAACATGGCTGACAGTTCGCTTTAAAACCACATCATTGTTACTGAAACAGTCTTCATACGAGTTTCGCAACTTTAACTACTCAGCCACCGGTCAGCTAAAAGATTTAGAGTATCTCTAAATCGTTAACTACTAATTTAAGTACTCAGCCACCGGTCAGCTAAAAGATTTAGAGTATCTCTAAATCGTTAACTACTAATTTAAGTACTCAGCCACCGGTCAGCTAAAAGATTTAGAGTATCTCTATAAACTCGAGCGCGTGTTCACAGCTATTTCTTTGACACAATAAAATTTTATATTTGTTTTAAAAATAAGCATATACCGTCACATTATTACGGTACGTTCTTTTCACAGATATATTGAAGTGTTACGTTTAAATATGAAGTACGTGACATATCGAATTAATACATTACGCCGAAAAAATTAATACTTCATTTCTTCATTTAAAGAAATTTTTAGTCTTGTAAACTGGCTATAAATAAAAAGCATACAAGCAGAACAAGTGACAGGGAATACGGTAATTCGATAATGATTACATGTAATTTAAAACACAAATTTACATGCAAAAGCAATACTCACCAGATACGAAATTTCCAAGCGCTCCAGATAAACCTGGTAAACTAGCAATCCAGGAGATTTCTTCTGCAGTAATATCCATAAATCTACTTCCAGGTCTCTTCATATCTACAGTTGCGGGAGCCGAATAAGCTGTTGACATGCCTAAGACTACTATATACAAGAAAGCTGACACTGCCGCTATGTGAGTATTTCGAAGATTCACAACAGGAACGAGAGGTTTTTTGTCACTGTTTTTATGAATTGTCATATAACTTAAAGACAGAGACATATTGAAAAATATTCAAGGAAACGTTCAAACTTTTCTAACAAGATTCAGCTCTACATATTCAGATCTTAAATTATTTAATATGAGTTAAAAATTGATTAATTAAATTAGAAAATAGCAGGTGAGGCTACTACAAATATTTCTACATCTGAGAAAAGAAGCAAAAGTTCGCGTAGTTCCGTTAAATGAAGTTTCTGACAGCAAACAAAATCGATAAATTCTATCAGGAATTATTATCGAGAAATATCACGCACAGCGATAATATTTTCAGATTACTCAATAATTTAACCTTCATGCATTGTTCAGATTAACACATGAATAAAAGGACTGAAGATATGCAGAAGACATATCAACTATCTTTGATAAAACTAAAGTCACTTCACGGCATTGCGTGTGTAAGCTAAGAAAAAATAAATTACTGATCATAGATTTTAAAAAAATCTACTGTAATTAGAAAGATTTTTTACAGTTTAAAGCATTTTATGCATATATAAAGTGACAAAGAGTGACTTGTAATTAACTCACTTTCTACAAAGACTGAAAAAATCTACTGTAATTTAGAAAGATTTTTAAAGCATTTTATAAATATATAAAGTCACAATTCACTTGTAATTAACTAACTTGTTACAAAGAGTGACTTACAATTAACTAACTTGTCACAAACAGTGACTTATAATTACCTAACTACGATACTATTTACTTGTTTTATTAGTTATTTCGAGCAAAAATGCATGTTTATAAAAATAACACAATATGAAGATTTCACATCACAGTCTAACACCTTAAAATATATTTAAAAAAAAGATTATATCATTAAAGATTAAAAAAATTAAAGCTTTTAATTAAAAATATAAAAAAATACGAAACTGAAAAGAAAATTAAATCTGATCGCGGTATTTAAAATTCAGTTTAACAGTTGAAACAATTTTATACTTCACTTTCAACAACAGGTCAACTAGTTCAGGACTTAGCCCTCAAGAATTAAAAATCTGATGTTTACACCACATGACTTCCTTGACGGAATATTAAATTATACGCATTTTTGCTGCATTTCATTTAAAATTATTTCTTCGAATTTCATTAGAGATATATTTCTCATTCAATTAATTCTGTTCTCAGTTCTCTACAATGCAAAAATACATAAGACCTGAAAATATCATCATTAAAAATTTAAAAAATATAGAAAAAAAAAACACCATGCAGTTAAAAACAAATAAAAAACAAATTTTACAATTAAATTTGGAGTTCCTACCAAAAAACAAGCAATTCGGCCAGAAGGCAACAACGCAGATTTTTTGTTGCACAACAATGAAAGTTTAATTTTGGTCGCACTCCGCAAAAAGACACTTAATCCACTATTCTGCTAAATTTTCAAATGTAAACAAATATGGCTGTTACGGAAAAAAAAATTTAGAATTCGCCTAACTTAAACAACTTTTAAATTGTTGATAATTCTACAAATGATGCATGCAGATTAACTAAAGGCATAAAAACCTTAATCGGAAGATCAGAACCATATATAATTCAATCATTTTTAAAGCAAAAAATGAGCAATTTACCAACATATAAGAATAAAAAAAACTGATCTCACTGGGATGAGTAACAGAGTAGGTATATATATATACTCTGTTACCTTATATATATACTTTTGTTGCGGCCGATTGCAACCAAAAAGGGAGGTGCATAACTACATATTATAGCAGTCTTATATACAAAATTTCAATGTTCTGAGGCTACTCGTTTTTGAGTTATGCGAGATGCATACATACATTCAAACGTACGCATGTACGTACAGACACCACGAAAAAAAGTTCTCTTCTGAATCTATTTTAAATCAGTTTTATAATTCGCTTGGGGAAAAAGAGTACTTTGTTCTCTCCTTACGTACAGATGTCATGGAAAAAAATCGTTAAATTGCATTCGATAGCGGTCAAGATGGATATTTTCGTTGAAATATGAGACCCGGAATTTTTCGTGATTACAATACTTCGTACAAGGAAGTAAAAATATAGACATAAAATATATTTTTATAAGCGGTTAAAAATGTCAAAGCTAAATAATAAAGGAGAGAACTGATTTAAATTAACGTTACATGAAGACTTCTGCATATACAAAGGACAGTTATTCCAGATATAGCTCGGCATTTATTTCACTACGCATATCTGACATGCAGTCAGATTGCAGTTTGATATCCATAAGCTCAAGTGTATTTATTTTTATTTAAGTATTTTACTCAAGCTTAGTTCTTAGACAAAATGGCGCTTCGAAGTAAAATCACGTACCAAGAGAGGTTATACACCGAACAAATCTATACAATGAATTTACATATGAATAACTGTGAAGAAAGATTATATACTTTAACTTTTAAAATCCAGGTAAAATATTCTTTTTCCTGTTATTATATTTCCGATTATCTATATTCCTATTATTATATTATCGGGATTATTTATTCAAGAACAAATTTCGCTTTCTAGAAACTAAATAAAATTCTTTCTTGATTTTTCAGTCGTAAAAATATATGAAATTTGTTGGAGAAAAGATATGGGGATGGGCTTACTGCTTTAAGTACCGATCCTAGAAAAACGCTTGACAGTTTTTTAAAGTACTGTGCACGATTTTTGAAAGAAGTCAAATGTAACCCTATACGGTATTTTCTCCCCCTTTCTACATGCCTTCTTCCTGCAACGGTAGCACACTCGGCGCGTATTCGAGAGGTCCAGATTCCCGGCGAGCGCATTGCTTATTTTTCACGTCTCCAGCGTCGGAGAAATGTAATAAGTCTACAAACCGACTACGTTTATAAACTGTAATACTGTTATCGTTAATAGTGTTTAAAAAAAAAAAAAAAAAAAAAAAAAAAGAAGATTTCATTAATACGGTCTTTAAAGACTCAAAATTGAACTTAGTAAATCATTCAGTATACTTTAGTTCATTAAAATTAAGAAATTTCTTATGCTCGAGATGCAGTTCGCAGACATGTTTAAGATGAACATTTTCACCAAAGATAAAAGGGTCTGGTATAAATTTAATAATATTATTTTACCTACTACTACCACTACGATCCACTCCTCCCCCCTCCCATCAGCTGTTTCCTTCTTTAATTTTCAAATGCATTTTACAAATCGCTTATAAGCATGAAAAGTAGCCTCAATCAGGTCGCTCGAAGTATCTGCGCGAATTTGCATATAAAAGAATATTAATTGGTTTCGTTCGTTCTCTAAGAATATATAAAAATCGTAATTTCTTTATTCTTTTCGTAGAACCACTAATCCATAGTATCTAAAACTAATTTCATAAAGTTTTGAACTTTATTTTAAAAAACTGGGTAAGAGGAATTTCTAGGATCAAACTTTAAGCAAATAAAGCACACAGGAACGTTTATTCACACATATTGATTATATCACACATATTGATATATGATATCTATAAACTATAGTCTGTTTGTTACTTTGAAATAGGCACTTCAAGGCCAAACATATCTATTAAAATTGCCAACCATTTCCATTTGCAATCGCGGTGATCACTGCAAAGCATTTACTTTCTCCACATCATTTGAGACTGCTGTTAAAATCATTCACGTGCTTTTCATAAAGCTAAATGGAAATGAAGTGGGGGAAAAGAATTAAGCCACCAGACCTTTTTTCCGCAGCTGTTATTCCCATGGTTACAAGTCAAATTGGAAGGAAAATAATAGCTTTGAAGCTCCTATTTTAAAGTAACAGACTATAAGATACATGTAGTACACGCATCTTTGTTAGCGAAGCTTCCTAAATGATCTCTAATTATGCTCCTAGATTGGGACCATCTACAAGCATAACACGCCACCATTTGATAAGTACTGATTTATCTTTAGAAAATCATAAAGGATAATAAAAAAATGATCAGGTCCCATTATATACAAATTCATCCTACATCCAAAACTGTAAATAATATCTGTAACTGATGCATTAATTAAAAATCAAAATAAAAATAAACGCAAAATATTAATAATTTCACGTATGCCTCGATTTAAGCCATTTAAAATCTTCACTTTATGTCACTTTAACCAAAAACATTTTTTTTAAATTTATTAATATATAATCGTAGATCCGACTAATATCTATACAAAAAAAATATCAATTTTGTTTGAAGAAAAAATATTTGCTTGTAGCTATTTATGGTACACAAACTAAACAGGAACTGCTTTCAAGGAAGATCTGCATTAGTACTTAGAAATAAATTTAACAAAAGAAATGAGAAAAAGATTTTCGTTCCCATGAAAAAAGGCGAAAAGCGAAAATGGCATTTAGCGCAGATTTGATTGAAAATATGAACAATAATGAGTACACAAATTTATGTAACAGAAACGACTGTACGACAGATTTTTAGTAAGAAATATGTCGCCTCAGTTACGAGTCTCCATCAATCTCAGCGACAGTAAAGCGTGTCAGTCGTAGTGACTGACGATTTAGTGAAACAGTATCAACTGCAGAAAATAAAAAGTTTGTTCCATAAATAAAAATAACCCTTTCATAACAATGTACCGTAGTTAACAGAAAATAAACTATAAAAGTAAATATAAAATGAAAAATATAAATTGCTCTATACCGAAGAGACAAACTCAGTGTGAAATATAAAATTAGCAAACTTTCGAATAACACTGAATTAAAACCAACGTTAACATAAAATTGATTTTTGCCTAGTTTTATCTAAATTACTCTATTATAAGATCAAAAACTGCTAAAACTAGCAATCTAGAAACAAAACTTCATAATCGTTACAATTACCAGAACATGAAATGCATAGGATATTAACAATAAGTATCAGAAATATGCAAACATTACTTGATATTCTTATTATGCATACTGAATCATCTTATTCATAGAGGTGAAATCAGCTAGCACAGGAAGTATTACAATTTTATGTAATACTTTAATTTATTACAATGCAACAAATTTATCATTTTCAAATACTTTTAGTCTTTTGAAATCCAAAACCAGCAGTATTTTGTTATAAAATTACTGTTAAACTTTCTTTAATCTTATTTCAATACGCTTGTATAGTATCCTGTCAAAATTTGAGGCCCACCAGCGGCCGAGCGGTAACGTCGCTGAACACTGGTAGTTCGGTTTGAGTTTCGAATCCCGCGAACGGGCTGGCTGCATGGGCGTTTCCGTGGTTTTCCCCATGTGTAACGTGTATACGAGCCAGTTTCCCTTAGAAAGTCCTCCACGAAGGCATCCCTCCTCTTAGGCAGATAGCCCTCGAGGCTTTGCCATAATTACATACATAAACCTGTCAAAATTTGACAGCCAACTTTCAATTAATTCACCACAAGAGACTTAATGAAAGGATTTATTTACAAATGAATACAATTAGAAAAAACAGAAAACATATCTATTAAAATTATAAATTCTTATAAATAACGTAAAATGACTACACAACAGATCTCCAACAATCTGAATGAAATGGATCCACAACTCATCCGGTAAGTATCTATATATGTATATTACCGCAGTAGAAAAAATACCTATGTTAAGCTAATGATGGATTATTATTTTAAAACTTTTCAGCTTATCATACTATTTAAACAGATTTTATAGTTAAAAATACGAAATTTTTAATCGCTTGGAGCACTAATCCATTTTCCTCCAATTAAAATAATATAACGAAATTCGTTTATATTTACGAGTACTCGAAATACTCATTTGTATTTTTTGCTGTATTGATTGATTGGTAGTTTCATTAATTAACTACAGTTACACATGGTGTTGTTAAGGAAAAAGCCTTATTCCATAATGGAAGAAATTAACTTCGCTATACATTAAGCCAGAAAGGGGTTCTGATCAAGGCATCAAGCTCATACATGATTATTACCTTAACCTTGGAGCCTATTTAAATAGTGAGATGAAGCGACGCAAGACAGATAGATGTACGGTCCCTGCCAAGCTTGAACGGAAAGACGAATAATCGATGGTTCTAGTTCTGTGAAGACTGATTATGTTTCTCCGATGACGAGTAAATTCGCTATATATAGTAAATCCTTGCCGAGTGCGGATTTGCGCAAAGTGATTTTGCACAAATGCCTTAATTGTTTCTATTCAATTTGTTTCAATGCTAGAATTTCATTCATGCGCGGACGCTGCACACCGTCGTTGCTATGCCAAAGTTCTCTTTGTGGCCACATTTTTCTCTCTTCCATCCACATGCGCATCCGGCAGCCCTGTTTGGCGCATTACCCACTAGCTGAGTGATAATCACAGTGAAAAATGTACGCTTCTTACAGCGAAAGTTTCAAAGAGTTGCGTAAGTTATTGTCGAAAACATACAATCTTTTTTAAAAGAAATAATTGTATCATGTACCCACTTATCACACAGTAACAAAAATCCTTTCAGTTAACATTTATTTTCATCTCTCCTTTAATCTACAATATATGCTTGTTTATATTATAAATACTTTCTTAATTTGAATTACACTTAACACGTTTGTTCCACGGGAAGTTAACTTTATAGAATAAGATTTTGCCATGCCCACAATGTATTCATGACGTAAGCCACACAGTCCATAAGGGTTTAGTGCATTTAAACTATCTTCGAAAAAGGAGTCCTTTTAAGATTAAAAAGTACGTTTTAGAAAAAACATAAACTCAGCAGTCAGTGTTTCTACTGCTGTTTAGCAACGTGACCCATGCACACATAGCTACAGATTATTACGACCGACATACAGACATGCGGAAAAAAGTACAGATGTAAAATAAAAGTTTTAAAACAGTATTATGTAACTAATTATAAGTAGGCATATGTAATTATTATAACTAATTGATATATTTTTATACATAAATCACCTATTATAAGTAAATTTGCATATTTATAAAATAAAACGAAAACCAGACCTTCATTTCTCTCCTCAAACACCAAGAAACTGCTTCTGGGGGACGGAAAATTATCTCTGTGTGTATTTACAAATAGTATAGCATTTCCCCAAACTGGTGAGTTGTGATCCATACTTTGAAAAACACTGCACGTATTTACTGCATGTTATTTCTTCGGCATTAATGTTTATAGGCCAAACCTGGTAGATTAGTCTACGTAAATATACACATCGGTCAAAATTAATTTAATAGCTTCTTTAAGTGTATGCATAATGATCCGTAATCTCTTACATTATTTAAAAAGCATAAATAAATTAAAAGTTTGTTTTGCCAAGAAAGCCGAGCTACGAATTGAATTGCTGTGGATTGAAAAAACAGCAAAAACACTTGCTATTCTAAGTATTTAGAGTTCAGTTAACTGGATTTACATTTCACTCTCACGTGTCCTTTTAAAACAAATGATAAATCATGCATAAGGCTTCTCGTTTTCAGGCAAATCTTTTTTCTCCTTCATTTCTACAGAAGCACTGAAAGATTTATGTATATCATCAAGGGTTCTTCCTTTTGTTTCTGGTACAAAAAACCAACAAAATACGCAACCGAAAATGCACATAAGCGCGTATGTCCAATATAGTCCATAAATACCGAAAGCTAATCTCATATCTTCGAAAAGTTTTGTTACTATGAAACCAAAAAATGAATTAGAAACATTAGCTATAGCCATAACAACACTCCGACTCCGAATGGGCACAATTTCTGGGGTAACAACAAAAGGAATCGGACCAAAACCCAAAGAAAATGAGCCTATATACACGGCAAAACTTATTAGAGGTACTAAACCATATACACTTTGATCTATCTCTTGCTTGCTCGACAATATAGCTTGAACACCCAGACCTGTCAGAGCTATGGTCATACCAATTCCAGATGCAATGTATAGTACTTTACGACCAGCTCTCTCTACTAACGCACTACTTAAGAAAGCTCCTCCAACTTGCACCGCAGCAATTACTGTCGCGGCTACATTGGAGTTTAAGGAACTCCTTGAAATTTCGAAAATCTCAACGGAATATGACATGATGCCATTTATTCCCGAGAACTGCAGGAAAAACATAAAACAGATAGCGATCAAGGATGGCTTATACAAAGAAGGCTCGAGGAAATCTTTCAAACGTATACTACCAGTTGCTTCTTGCGATAGCTCCAGCGATATATCTCGTAACTCCTTCATTGAATCAGAATGCTTTCCCTTTAGAAATTGCAAACCTACAAGGGCTTCATCGTTCTTCTTCTGGCGAATCAGCCAAGGAGGAGATTCTGGCATTAAACACATAAGGACGGATCCACACGTCACACAAACGGCTCCTACTATGGCTAGCCACGACCATCTAAGGAAAATACCCATTGATATCATAATAAAAACTCCAGAAGAAAGAGCCACTTGGAATCCAGATGATAAAAGTCCGCGTGTCTCGGTTGTAGCGATTTCCACTACATAAGCTGGAACAGCAACAGTGCTGATTCCGGAACAGAAGCCTGAGATGAATCGACCAGCATAAATCCAACCAATGGAAGGCGCATATGCAATCATCAGCCAGCCCGCCACGAATGGTGCAGATACGTACATGAGAACAGCTTTTCGTCCAAATTTCTGAGAAACATAACCTGAAAAAAATTATGCACATTCCATTAAAAATTTCAACGATGATAAAAAAATATTTCAAACAATGCATTCTTATGAATAATTACATTGAATAACATAAAGCCCTTATTCGCCAACACTTCACAATATGTTTCAAATCAGTCCTACTTTACCTTCGAAATATTAACGTAATATATGACACAATAAAACAAAATAAAATAATTCATTTAAATTTCGGCAGTCGCAAATTAAGACGAAGTAGCCAAGAATATACGCATCGATGTAGTCCAGATTTGATAAAGGGGAAGGGAATGCAAGAAAATAAATGCGTATAATAATTTTACAGCATTAATTAATTATACAGTTACAAATTTATTTTATAAAGAAACAACTATTAATAACTTTATGATTACGAACTGTATTATTCTCACTCTAAACACTAAGCTAATCAGAACTCGAAATTTATTTATGAAAGAGGTTTCAGAATGACATTTATTTCTCGAGAATTATTCCGTATTATTATTAGGACGTTCATTTCTTCAGAATTATTCCAAATTATTATTATGACGTTCAACTCAACTTTCATAATACATACACTTTTTTCGCAGAAGTATATTTCAGCACATACGGAAAATATTTTAATATTTCGTACAAGTTGTAATACCACTGGTGTTTATGTGAGTATCGTTTGCTTCATTTTATTGTTGCAAACAGCGTAAATTCCTTTTGTTTTTCTTCCTTTAGTTTTGAACTTTATGTGTGGCAACAAGATAATTGATTGATAGAATTGTGTTTGTGACAGCCATATAGAATGGCTCACTTATTTTGTATCAATTATTTCGCATTGCTGACATATTATTTATAATTAGTGTAATCATATAAAAGTGTAGGAATACAGTCCATTTGTTGATTGATTATTGTTTGTGAAACATATTAAGTTTAAGAACAACTGGATATAATTAACATGCAATTAATGCAATATTAATTAACATGCAATAACATACAACTAAATAATGAGAGGATACAGCAATTATCTCGAGAGAAAAAATTCAGTTCTTTTAATTTTCATTAGATGGTACAAATTGCTCTCTTTCTCTGGAGGAAAATATCGAAGCTAAACTGAACAGTCATATAAAACAAACTTTCCCTCTCCAGTAATTATTATAATCTTAGATTACCAATACTGGAAACGTAAACATTCTTATAAATGATATCCACCTGCAAAATTGACGCCATTTAGCCCCTAATTCAGTTAGTCAAAAAAATATAAAATAAATTACAACGGAAAAGTCCTCAAATACTATTCGCCGATAAAGATTGACTTTGAAGAGAACTTTCTACTTAAATTAAAAGTAATTAACGAAAAATAAAGCATAATTTACAATACTGCATAAAGCATTGTGACTATAACACAGAAAATCCTCCTGTCCTTTGGAATTAAAATTTAAATATCCTTCTTCCATAGTCTGCTTCTGAAGTTAATTACCATGCAAGTGAACATACAAGTAGTGTAATATATAAATTTTATTTTAAAGAAACGGAGTACTTCCATAAGAAATTGCACCAGAAAAACTAACATTACTTTATAAGATTTATCAAAAAAACGTTTCATAATTATATGAGAAAAAATATTTCTCAGAAGAATTCCTAATTTGTATGATGAAGATAAATAATCTAGTTGATAATATAAGCAAAGAATAAAGTAACAAATCACGGCTAAACAAATTTTTTACAACGAATGATAAGTTTTCATATAGCTTGTAAAAGTTACTCATAGAATTACAACACATTTTAATTAATAGTTGAAATAATGATTTAGAATAAAATGACATACCAATTAATGTTTTTAAAGTAAAATCAAACTATTGTGATTTAAAATGCCTCTATTTGGTATTTTTAATTGGAATTCATTTAATTTTATAATAATATTCAGTAACTAATAGAATGGTATTTATATTCATTTTTAATAATTCAAAGCTATTAGAATTAAGATAATCTCTATTTTATTGACTAAAAGATTAATAGACGTTGTTTAATTTATTTAATTGCAGCAAAGAACTCGAGGGTTATATGCTTAAGGGAAAGGATGCCTTCGTGGAAGACTCTCAAAGGAAAACTAGCTCGTATCCATGTTACACGTGGGGAAACCCACAAAAACGCCCATGCAGCCAATCCATTCGCTTGGAATCGAATCCAGGTCGAACTACCAGTGTTCAGCGACTTTACCGCTTAAGCGCTAATGGTCCAAATAAATCTCGGTACTTGTATTAGCGAGATGGATGATCCTCCCACGTTTTGCATTGATGTCTTATGTTATGTCTTATGTACGCTGGGAAGAAGCACCATAGTCATAGCGCTTTAAATCCCTCTTTTTAAGACTAAAGTGGGAAATCCATAGGTAGGGTAACAGGCAATAAATTTCATAAAATGTAGGCCCACCGGCGGCCGAGCGGTAAAGTCGCTGAACACTGGTAGTTCGGTCCGAGGTTCGAATCCCGCGAACGGGCTGGCTGCATGGGTGTTTTCGTGGTTTTCCCCATGTGTAACGTGTATACGAGCCAGTTTCCCTTAGAAAGTCCTCCACGAAAGGCATCCCTCCTCTTAGGCAGATAGCCCTAGTGTGCTTTGCCATAATTAAATACACCACACACCACACCATAAAATGTAGTCTTGGGAGAAAACGTGATAGAATATTACTATGTGTAATTTTCAAATTGTGAGATTTTTAGCTATAATGTGATAATGACTTTAGCTATAATGTGATAATATAAATGCAGTTAAAATGCATTTTATTTTTTGCCTTTTTTGGAAATCTAGGACTAGAAAGATAGGCTTCGATGACCACAGATTGAGAAATGCTGTTCTAAAGCCTATCCCCAGTAAATATCCAACAAGTGTCTACCAATATTTTAGCTAATCGAATGAGAAAAAGTTACGGTCATATTAATATAATAGCCTCTTCAGTGATAAATTAATTATAATTCGAAGCTTGAGATACTTTTTCCATGCAGCGTACTTCTAAATCTGCTTGTTAAATGTAATATTCCTAAAATTGTAGTGTTTTTTCCCACTTTCAATACAATATTTAATAAATTTTAAGGCACTCAAACTTTTATTAGAGCCCACGCTTTGTTTAAGGATTCTGCTCAAATGCTTAATGTAAAGTTTCTAAAGATATTAAGGATAGTGAAACAGTAACGCCCACTGAATTATCGATATGTAATTAACTCCCCATTAATAGAAGTAATATGTTACTTCTATTAATGGGAAGTTATATGCAGTGAACGTTATATACAGTGAACACAAAATCCACAGTCAGAAGAGAATTAATCCATGGCATAATCAACAGAAGATCTCTAATGATAACTTATCTGCATTTTCAACGCGTTTAATCTAGATAAATTCAAAATATTTAATCTTAATATAATTATTACTATTTTTAATAACTTTTTGGATTTCTCTACGGAATAAGGATATTTGTCTCAGTATTGCCAGCTGCATATAAAACATCTATATAATTAGTTATTTGCTACATACATTAAAATTTAAAACAATAGTACTCACCAGTGGCCGAGCGGTAAAATCGCTGAACACTGGTAGTTCGGTACGAGGTTCGGATTCCGTGAACGGGCTGGATGCACGGTTGTTTTCGTGGCTTTCCCCGCCATGTGTAACGTGTATACTAGATAGTCTATTTAGAAAGTTCTCCACGAAGGTATCCCTCATTTTAGGCGAATAGCCCTCGAGACTTTGCATAATCACAAAAGCGAAACCAAACCATAACACCCTATATGAACATATTAAAATAATGGAAAAAAAAATACGATCAGAATTTAAAAACGTAACTTACAAAAGGCATTAAAGAATCAGATTTACAAGAAAATTTGAACAATGAGTTTAACACTCGTGTGGGAAAAAAAAAAAAAAAAAAAAAAGGTTAGAACCCCCCCCCCCCCCCCCCCCCCCCCCCCCCCCCCCCCCCCCCCCCCCCCCCCCCCCCCCCCCCCCTTTTATTTTTTGGCAGAGTTCATCTGGCAAACATTATCTGGTATCACTGCTGTTAACCCCCTTTTTTATTTTTGTATTTTCTGTACATAATTTTGTTTTACGCTCAGGGTTTGCAACATCAATTTTTCCATCGTTTTAGACAGGTCTGGGTAATCGCAACCTGTATAATCTGCCTTCAATTAATTGAATTTCTTGAGAGTTGACTGGCAGGGGGAGTAAAAGGCATTTACGATATTAACGATGTCGTTACTGGTATGTAAGTTTAATGTCAGCAAAGCATCTATTTCATAAAAATTACAATCCTGAAATTTAAAAGCTGAACAATTTTTTCAGCTTTTAAAATTTCTGGCAAAATGAGATCAAATAAAGAACTGCAACCGCTTAGAACGATCTCCTCACTTTTGGATAATATGATTTTGCAAAGAATAATTAAAGAAAGTTGCAATTTTATACAAAAATACTAACGATATTATGATACAAAATACAAGCATGGCAATAACAGGGAGATAATTAAAATTTACTCACCGGATATGCAATTGCCAACAACTGCACTGAGGGATGACACACTGGCAATCCAGGTAATTTCATCAACGGTCACTTGTCTGAACCTACTTCCTTTCATCTTCATATCCACAGTTGCCGGAGATGGATACCCTAGGATCATACCGAAGGCGACGACATACAGAAGAGCAGAGATTGCCGCTAAATGTGTATTACGAAGATTCAGCTTTGAGTAATTGAAACCGCCACCAGCATGCTCGGTTTTCTCCGATACTGTCGCAGATATAGTTCTGATCCTAGTTAATACTACATCCCCCTTTTCCATCTTTAAGAAGACCAAAAACAAAAGAATAAGATTTTGCTTACGGTATTAAACGAAAGTAACCCGAAAAGACTGCAGAAAAGGAGACATCGATTAATGCTAAAATTAATTGATAAATGTTATCATGGCATATCTGTGGGAATAATCGAAGGCAATGTTCAGAGATACGAAATCTTGTCTTTTTGTAACAGGTCTGTGATACAGGATAAAAGACGCCGAAAAAAAAAATCATGCAGACAACTTGATCTTTGTTCTTGGATAAGCCTAGCGATACTAAATAGATAAAAGACCTTATTAACCGAAGACGAATTTATGCGACATTCACGAAATGTTCCTAGTAATAATAAAAATACAATAATTTATCTCAATTCATTTAAGTAAGATAAAAAAATCAAATTACATATGTATCCAGACAGTGAGAGGTGAAAGTTTAAAATAGTTTTCTAGCATGTTTCTGCGAGCTCTATGTATCCAATATGGTTTTCGGTTTAATAAAATATTTCTCTCTGAACGGATTTAAAATTACCATAAAAAATTGCATGACGTTAATTCAACAACAGCAGATTAATTTCAGCAATTCGCGTAACACTCGGTGCAAATATATCAAGGCTCTGAATAAAGTTACATTTATAACACAAAACATTAATTATATAAAAGATAAGTTAAAAAGTTAAAAACAAATTCCTTCTCCTCCTATTTTTACTTTCTTGTACGAAGTGAAGGAAGTATTGTAATCGCTAAAAATTTCGGGTACAATATTTCAACAGAAATATCCATTTTGATCGTTCTCATTTGGACTTTTTTTTTAATGACGTTTGTACGTACAGATAGAATAAAGGACTGTTTTTCCCTCCTCCCCCCAAACGAATTGCAAAACGGACTTTTTTCGTGACGTCTGACGTACCTATTTATGCATGTATGTGTCTCGCATAACTCAAAAAGACTAGCCGCAGAAAGTTAAAATTTTGTATAGGGAACTTCTATAATATCTAGTTGGGCACTTCTCTTTTTTTTATTACCCCTGGTAGAACCAAACATATATATATGTGTGTGTGTGTACGAGTATACGTACTCACTCCCTTACCCGGCTTAGAAGTCCATACCGGCCTTTATTTTCGCAATCCTTAGTCATACACTTTCAAATACAGAGGCGTTTTAAATGACCAAAATAATCATGTTTTGAAAATGTCAAATTTAAAAAAAAATATTTAATTTTTGACAAATAACGAAATCTAACTTTTAACACGGGCTCCTAGTTCCTATACTTACATTTGGGAAAGTTTTGTGCTCGTTACGAAAAAATAAAATTATAAGAAGTTTGACTCCCAAAAGACAGAAACTGATGGGGGCATTTTCAAAATTTTTAATGTCATTTTCAACTTGTAATGAGGGATCGGCTAACTAATCCCGAATAATTCGAGGGAATAAGTTTAAAGTTCTGCAAAAAATGTGCACATTTTAATAATAAATAACAAGGAAGTCATGTGATGTCTACATCAGATTTTTTTTTTTTTTTTTTTTTTTTATAAAATGAAATTAAACTTTCCATTGCCAGTGCTAGGACATTCATGACTAAATAGCAGCAGCCTACAGAATCAAAATGTGACACATAATTTATTCAACCCTTATCTGATTTTCTCATCCTTCAATCTTCAATTTTCTCACAACGCCTTTCTTTCCTTAATATCATTTCATCAAATTTCCAGAAAATTATCCGAAAATGCAGTAAGTGTGGCTTCAAAATCGTCAAGTTATTTTGTAATATTTAGCTACTATTTTGAGCATTTCGAAATTTCAACAAATCTTATGATTCAACTTTATACATACTAGGACTCATAAATATTTCAAAAACAAACTTACCATGTCATTTACAAACACACATATTGCATTTAGAATACTTTTTAAATTTATGAGCATTTCCTTCAATATAGCACATATTTTATGTGCAGTCTAATTATGCTGTTGCGAAAGAAAATGATTTTAAAAACAATTTTGGAAATTTAGTCAATTTATTTTCAAGGTCTTATATTTATCTATATTTTAACGTCAATGCTCCCAACTGATGAAATTTATGCAGAACACCTTCTTTTTAGGTATTGTTTAATAATTTGTTTATTTTAAGTATTATTTATTATTTTAATTATTATATTTTATTTAAATAATTTGTTTTTGCAAAATAATAATAATAACACATTACTCATTCTTTACTGTAAATAAACATTTTGGAACTTCATATTTTTTGTTAAATTTCTTGATGACAGGTGACAGGTGACGGAGGACGGGGACGCCTGGTGTTTAACAGAGGTAAACAGGCATATGTCCCGCGGCCTCTCCTATCTACCGGGGGTTTATTGAGATCTTAAAAGATTTATTACATTGCCATACAGGGGCAGATGAGAGATACATTGGCTATTTATATTGTATTACAGATTTTAGGTTTGCAAGGTATACGTTACATAACATACTGGTTACACATTTAAGAAAAAAAAATTATTAACATAACACATACATGACATGACACATAAATACTATTAATAAAGAAGGTACATGCGCTTAGCAGAAGGAAGATACTGTATTTCCTTAGATGCAGAGGAGTACTTACATTCACTTAAGACCCTGAATTAGTGGGGTTGGCATAGGTCTTGCCCCAGGGCGGTTATGTTATCTGGCTGATTATTCTGCAGATGGTATTCACTGTGCCTTTGTTATTAACGATGAATCGTTTGAAGGCTATTTGGTTGGGCTCCGCTGGCAAGTGGAGGTGATTATCCTCCGTGAGCGGGCATTCAAAGATGTAATGGTCTGGAGTTCCGAGCGACCCACAGACGCACAAGCCTGTATGAGAGATACCCAAATCGCTCAAAATAGGTGGGAAAGGGCCCGCCCGTGCCCCGAGATGTAATTAGTGATGGGAGGTATGGAGTATTGGCGCTCCATTTTCACTCTAGGCAGAAATAAATTGGTTCTGCGACCCGTATCACAGGTCTCCCATTCAGCTTGCCACTTCTGCAGAACTTTTTCCTTAAGAGTTCTCTTGAGATACGAGGGTGACGCAGGAATAGTTACCATCTGTGCAGCTATGTTGCTTGCTGCCTCCTTTGCCAGTTGGTCAGCTGTCTCGTTACCCTCATTGTTAACGTGTGCCTTAGTCCATATTAAATTTACAATTAGTTGAGGATGTGATTGTAGAATATTCTGGAGGTCCGCTACCAATGGGGAGGTGTGGTTATGGTTGACTAGGGCGAATAGCGTTGACATGCTATCTGTAAACAATTTCTTCATGACAAAAATAAAGAAAAAATTCAAAATACACTGCTGGCCTTTAAATTGCTACATCATAAAGGCAGTGTTATGAAGTATTACTATAGGTGGCGCTGACGCGCCAAAAGAGTTAGATCTTGTAAGTCAGCGTTAGCGAACGTATGTCATGCTAGTGTCGAAGGGGCTAAAATCCTCTAGCCCTAACCTGAAATATGTATATAATATTGTATATAGTGCTTAATCATCGAATTGAATGTTGTGTGTGAACTTCGTTTAATCCTTGAAAAGTCACCGACCACAAACAGCATCTAGTAACCACACCTCTGGATACATGGAGTCGTTCATGATCGCTCATCTACACTCAGCATGCAAAAAACATCAAATTTGCATAAGAGGTACTACATGCTAGGATATGCAAATCATTAGCATTGCAGCGGATGCGCATATAGCAACGCTCTGTAAACTGTGTATAAATGGGAGGATTCCACAGCGGGTTTCTCATTTGAAAATCCCTTTTGAAAGTTGGTTGTTGCTGTCAAGGTCGTATCATGCCTCGTGTAAGAAGGAGAAACTCCGTGTCGAAATTCGGTCCCATCAGGACCGCCGCCTATAGGAATTGCGGTTTATCATTCCGCAGCATTGCTGTTCGTGTCGGCCATGACTGTCAGGCAAATATGAAATACATGAATCCAAGTAGGTCATGCAGGATATCAAGGACCCGGGCTCTCTTTTCGAGATTGTACAGCCTTGCACGATGATACAGCCACATCCGTTTCTTGAATCACGTACCTTCGCTCGTGGGCAGGACGACAAGTGAGAGCGGGTCCGGACAGTCAGTTTGCTTACTAGGATTATTCGAGTATCGTCCGGAATTCGCAACTCTACAACGTGGGAACTCTTTGGTGTCCAACAGCACCCTGGACTATCAGCGTACTGACCGCTGTTGTAGCTTCTCTCGACGCCACATCCGTATCCTGAATCACGTAGCTTCGCTCGTGGGCAGGACATATAGATGACAGCAGGTCTGGACAGCCGGGTTGCTTGCTAGAACTATTCGGGTATCGTCCGCAATTCGCAACTGTACAACGTAAGAACTCTTTGGAGTCCAGCAGCACCATAGACTGTCAGTATAGTGACCTTGACGCCGCACCAGAGATAGGCGCGCCCACAACGGTGCGACGAACGACGACACTGAACACAGAAGGATAGGAACCTTGCGTTGTCCCTGTTCTGCGCACAGCATCGTGATGAAGGTAGCGAGGAAAACGAAAGTTTGCAGCTTGTATTAGTCATCGCTTATATGGGGCCCAGAATCTAAAGTGCTGCTTTGGAGTTTCATTAACACATCCTGGTCACCTCTAGTTCCCCAAACCGGTAAATATATACAGCCACCGTTACATTTCTAACCTGTTAAGACCTATGGCTGTGATCTAGCTTCGAAGCCTGCATGACAGCAACTTTCAACAAGATAATGCACAATCGCATGCTGCCCGTGCTGTCCTGACCTCGATGCAGATCTAGTTCGACTGTTGCCCTAGCCAGCATGTTCTCCAGATCTCTCACCTACTAAGACATTTTGTTCTGAGACGCCGAAAGACTGGCATGCCACCAGCCACTACGATTGATTAACTCTGTAACAGAATTAAAATCGCGCGGAATAAAGCACCCGTATCTGTCATCAGTTCGACTCGAGGCTCAGACTCAATGGCAGTTCTATGTACTGAATTCTACACAAGGTGTACCCCAAAGCACCTGCAGATTTAATCATGTCTTCCTTCCAGTTTATTAATATATAAGATTCTCCTTCTTGCTTTTCTTCCTGGTAC